GATTGCAGATGACTTTGCCAGGTATTGTAGGTGTGAGAGTAGGCTTGTCCTACGATCGACAAAGATTCAGCCTTCGTTGTACCATGTTTTCTTCCCTAAACATATCCCGCTCGCAGGGGGGTACTACACATGGATCACTGGTTTAGCCCCCCAAAACCATTGATAGTGAATTGTTGTGTCTTTTGATGACCTGTATGTGTCACTGGGCTCGCCCTCTTAAGGTCTTCAAATCCCTCGTCATCACCTACTTTCCAGTCACTGGATTGGTGAGTTCCAGTCATGGGACTAGTGAGAAAGTACGGAGGTGGTTTGTGGTTGGGCACACGTATGGATGACCTGGGATTGGCCTGGCCTTAAAATTTGATAGCTGGGTTTTGGAGTTCGGCGTTGCCGCCTCGAGCAAAAAAAAGGTTGAAAAGGGGGATGCGAGGGGGCTCCAACTCCTACGGCACGCCCGGATGTCGAGCCAACCGTCTTCACGCGTTTGAATAAACCCTCAGTGTTGCTACCGAGCGTGTTAGGCTTGGTGTTCTATTAGCTCATTAGTGTGTCAAACAACTTAAGATGTGTTAGCACGAGAACGACCTCCTACTCTTGCTCGCCTCGTGCCATTATCTGCCATGTGAAAACCCCAAATACGATGGCCTAAGCGGATACAGTCAGTGCTAATTTCACGTTGAACAAACCACGCTGTGCGTTCATTGAGTCCCAACTCGTGTGTAAGCACTCTTTTGTTTTCCTTTGCTATTCACCCAAGGGACCCATGGCCTGGCCTTCCTAAGGTGTTCAAATCCCTCATCATCCTCAATGAATGAAATGTGGATGTTGGGATTCGTGCTAAGGTGTTATCTATACTTGTATTCAAGTCCCCCTTTCGTATTGCAAACTATGAGTGACGAGGTATGGAGATGCTTGTTGGTTGGCCGAGCCACAACACGTACGGATGACCTGGGATTGGCCTGCCTTCTAAGGTGTCAAAGTCCCTCGTCATCGTCTGTTTGTCGGATAGGGATTGCAGGCAATGAATGACTCGTTAGGTGTACGTGTGATTCGTGCTGCCATACGAACTCGTCAGTTATGGGTGTGATGGGGATGGGGTGTTTAAATCACTCGTCATTAGTTACAATGTCACTCGTCACTTTTACGTGTCATTGGGCTCGCCTTCTTCAAGTATTCGTATCCTCCGTCATGACTCAGTCAGTCCCGAGTGATTGGGCTCAGGCAATCTGAGCCAATAATCTATCTATATATTATATACATATATAGATATTCTATATTAAAGCTGTTATATATATTTTGTATGTATTTTATATTTATATTTAAATCCCTGTTCATATCGCACACTATGGGTGAGGAAGTGTGTAGATGGTTGGTGGTCGGCCAAGTCACACCACGTATGGGTGGACGTATTGGGTTAACTTTACCTTCTTCAGCTATTCAAATCCATCGTCATAATGGCTTATACGTGGCGGATTCGTATTGCAAACAATGAACGCCTAGCCAGGAATACATACGTGTTATTCAGGTACGCATGCGAATTCCTCCGTTAGGCTGCCCTTCCAATCATTCGTTGGATACGTTGTTACTCGTCACGTTTACGTGTCATTGGACTCCAACAGTAAGAGCCAATAAATAATATTTACGTGGGTAATCCCTCGTCCTCCTTATTGAATAAATGGCGTAGTGCACGGGCACTACAGTGGATCTCTGGCGTGACCTCTAGAGGCCGAGTATCATCATGAAAAGGAATAAATAGTATAGAATACTTTAGGGATGAGGACACTATTAGATAGAAAAGGAGCTTTATAGGATCAGAGTGCTCGCCAGCCGGCACCAGCTTGGGGCTCTGTGTGAGGCTGTTGTTATGACTCTGGCACTGAACCTCAGAGAGGGTCGAGGAACAATTCTATTATTCTGGGTTTTCTTTCCCAACAATAATATGGACACGAATGTATAATGGCTATTTATTGTGTTAAGTAGAGGTTTTTGAGGGAATCATGGATTTTAGTAGTTAGTTGTAGAGTGTGTACCTAATCAGGAAAGCCTAGGGAACTTACGTAGTAACAGTGTAGGCCAGCTGTTCACTGCAGGGCCGATCCTCAGCTGGCCAGCCAGCCCCCAACCCAAAGGGCTGTGGGCACTCGTAACACCGTTGGAAATAATCAGGCTCTAAATAGTATTTATTAAGTACTAATATTGTTAATATTGTGTTATCCTGAGGAATAGGCTGAAAGAGGCTCGACGGAGAGCCGATTTTAGTGCCTTTGCACTATATTTGCCATCTACACAGGTATTCATTTGGACGGTATAATTGCGCTGCCGTATGTTGAATTTAGCATGAGAAGTTCCGGGTATTGGAGGCTCCGTCTTTCCGTTGGGCCTGAAGAAATCGCATCGACACTAACGGCAATTGCAAGTGTCTAACAATGTGGGAACAAGCTGCACCTAGAGCCGAAGTTAAGCGTGCCGATCGGCTCCAGGGTCGCAAGGTTGTCGTCTTGCTCGAAGATGCGTAAGCTGAACTAACGAATTCACTATACCAAAGGAAACCGTCGACACTGGAATCCCAACCCTGATATTCTCGCACCCCACGGCTTCATTGTCCGGAGATTGTTCTGTTGCAGTGTTCTGGAGCTTGCTAAAGGACGCCAAGGTGGACTTCAACTCCTTGAGGGGATCCAACACCGCAAGTTGCTCCAGCAAGAAGACAGAGACAGCACAGTGTGTTAGCACCCAACTGTGTGCAGGCCCCCCTGCCACGCACATACCCAACGCTGCAGCGTCAGCAACAGGAGCAGTAGGAGGTTTGTTATGTACAAATGCAGCATTTTCATTTTTTGACATCACCTTCGGAAAAAGGTTTCGGACCCTCGCAATGGTCCGCCGGGAGAGTATTCATCATGTGGGGGTCGTTTGATGATGTGATGTTGCGTGAAGGATGTGCGCCCGGATATAGTTCACCATTGTCTGTTGGCCTTGCAAGAGTCACCATTAAACAAAGTAAGCAGCAGCGTGTAGTAGGAGGCCTCTCACCCTAGACATAGCGCTGGTACCGAGTACTTCTACTGCAGCAGAATTGAACCTGTTGCATTTTTCTTCCAGAAGTAGGACCCAAGCACGTTCGTGTTGTGTGAAGAGTGCCAATGCCACTGCTGTTCTTGTGTTTCAGGCCGGTCTTCTGTGCGTGTTCATCAGAACCCGAGATAGGCAACTGATTGAAGTTCACCCACAACTTCGAGTTCCTCCTACTTACGAGGAATTCAGGAAACTCATGGGTGAGGCTCAAGAATACTTGCATACTTAACACGAATTAAAGATGGTTGTTTGTCTGGAGGAAGCTCCTGACCCACTGTTTCAAGGAAGCTAATAGATGACGGGCTGTGAACTTTCCAACCCTTTTGTGAGGAAGTGCCTGTTGCATGTGCGCATACCTGTGGGGCACCCCGGGATGTGTGTATTCGCTGCAGTAAACCTCTTGCACACCCGTCGGATTCGCGCGGTGGAGAAAAATGTTACCCTTTTGCAAGTGAGTGGTCGGGCCACCGAGCGTCGTCTTCCATCGTCGCTACATGCTTCTGGCACCTTATGACGTTAACTACATCAAACAACAGAGTTGTAGCTTGCGAAGGTGATGTGGACTGCTTCTTCCTGGCGCAGGTAACGAAGAATGATCCCAACCTTTTCCTTCCCGTCGGCTCCCGTAAGATCGGTGAGCCTCCTGGTAGCCCCGAGACCCGCGTATGCGCTATCAAGACCTTTCGGTGCTGTTTTTGGATAGGCATTTGATGGATAGAGTATATCTAGTCTCTATGGTGTTCCGTTTGCTCCGGCCAGTCGAAAGTAGTGTGCATACCGGCGCAGTTCCGCGGTTGCCTAACTAGGGGAGGAACGACATTAAGCGGTTTGAAGGTTGCAGGTTTTTCTTTGCCTGTCATGTACCTTTACAGCATTCTCTTCCAAAGGACGCCCTGTAGACCTCGAAGATTTTGTGCAGCAGTTTCAGCACACGAAGACCCCTGTGTTGTTTCTTGTTGGCGCAGTGGCCCATGCCAATCCCAGTGCGTAACCTAGCGAATTCTTCACCCATATGTTGTAGGCAGTGGTTGCCGACGTGGTGTTGAATGCAGCTGCTCGTATCCTTGTCTTCTCTGGTCTGCGCGCAGCCGCGAATTGCGAACTATCCGAAGAATGCATTTCCATCGCCCCATGTGGATTAAGTGCAGCAGTGAGTGCAGCATTCCCAGTGCAGTAGCTGCACAGCACCTTAAAGCCTCGAAGGCAAAGACCCCCGGTGTTAGTAGTTGCCTACATTGTCCGTTGTATTTATTCGTGAGCCCTTTGGCGGGATCGTATTGGCCGGCGACTTTGGTGTGAGAGGAGGGAAATGCCAATGTGATGCTTCGCGCAGGTTTGCTGCAGCAGCCTTTGTGCGGAGTTCGAGAATTTGTGGAGTATCTACTGAATACCTCACTAGTCAGCAACTTGCTTTAATCGGTGGCATTCAGCAGTATAGCTACGCAGCAGATTACGCGCACAGCACTTGAAATCTCATTTAGTTGCTTAATAACTTGCTGTTTTTTCGTGAACTTTGCTTTAATATTGCTCGTTAAGACCATATTTGTGGCTAGGGGCTGGCACTGAAACGTATATCTGTTGGAGGTGTTCAGACACTTACGTTTTAAGGATTTCTCTCTGGCTGTCTGTAAAAGCACCTGCACGAATTTGCTATAGTTTGCATCTGTGCAGAGAACCGCTTGCCAGTGCAGTGGCCTTAGCGCCCGGTGCCACAGCAACGGGAAAACTTGCACACGCAAGTTATGCGGTCCCTTTATGCACTAAAAAGTCCCTTTGCCCGCCCAAAGCCGAGTAGGCGTTATGGGAAGAACACGGGCTGGCGGTATGGCGTGGCATACGCCGCTGCCTTTTGCGGAAAATGACAGCATAAGTCTTTCCCCCTCCCCCCTCCCAATTTGCACTAAAGCCCATGATACAGGGCTTTTTTAGTTTAGAAGAGGAGCGTCAGAGAGATCAATGCAGCGGCAAACAGGACACGAGTTTTCGTTGTGTTCGGCCCCGATGTCGCAACCACAACGTTTGCTAACATACATACTGGTTTCATCCACTGCTGTCATATCACAAGGGGTAATCGTGCGAGCTTTTCGGCCTCCTTGGGCAGCTCCGTGGTCGGGTTCTGATATTTTGCGCATAGGGCGGGATGTTTCCATGGTAGCTTCACTGGCAATATCTTCTGCAACAGGCTGCCTTTCCTTTTCACCACTTTGCGGCTCTTGCGGCTGTTCAACAGGTTGCTCAGCAGCTTGTTGAGCAGCAGCTTTCTCTGCCATTTCCCGTTCCATAGCTTGTTCCTGGGCTTTCCGTTGCTCTTCGGCGGCTATCCTTTCCTCCTCCTCCTTTCGGCGCCGCTCCTCTTCCTCGGCCTTACGAGCTTGCTCAGCAGCTGCCGCGGCAGCTTCAGCTGCTTCCTGCTCTGCCTTTGCTTTTGCCTCTTCCTCACGTGCTCTGGCCTCGGCTGCCTCTGCCTCAGCCCGGGCCGCCTCCGCCTTGGCTCGCTGCTCTGCTTCCCGAGCTGCGGCTTCCGCGGCAGCCTTTTCCTCCTCCTCCTTCCGCTTCTTCTCCTCCAACTCCTTCGGGTCGGCCCTCTTGGGCTCCTTCGCCTTGTTCTTGCCGCAGGCGGCGCCCATTTTCACAGGGGAAGTTACGTCGAAATGCTCGGGTGCCCGGACCCCTGGCAACCTAAAACAAACTGTAAGATGTGGAGCAAGATGTGGTAGATGCTGCAGGAGCTACTGGAAAGTGCAAAAGGTTCAACGATTAGAGTGAATGGAAGTGTGCGAACCAACTCCGACGCAGTCGATGCAGCAGCCAGCTGCGTGTCGCGAACTGCACCACGGTGAGCGCTGAGAAGTTGGCGTTACGGGGGATCCAAATGATAATGAAGGAAGCAATTTCGTCCACGTTAAAGATTCCTATGTTGAAATCTAGAAGAATTGCTCGTAAACAGCAAAGATGACCATGATCGCACCACGGCTCTCCCGATTCAGCAGCTTGCAGTGGTCAGGTTAGGCCGACAGCTGTTGTCGGCTGCGCTGCACCTGGCGAACACTGGCGCTCATGCGCTGATCAAACGGGGAATTTCTTTAGAGAATTAATATGTGAATTATCTCAATATTTGCACACTATTCTTCATGTGGAACAAGTTTAATGCTTACCACTAGCGTTCTCCCTTAGGCGTCGCGTGCTCCGCAGGTGCTCAAAATGCAATGCGGCTGCGGATCGACTTGTTGAATATGAGGGAAATCGGAGTATCTTTGATTTTCCTGTGTCCCTGATTAATGATTCTAGAATAAGTGAGCCATTTTATCATGCTTAGTGCCCTATGGGAGAGAGGAATCTACGACACACCAGAGCTAGCCGCATGGGCCACAAGCGGGCCGAGCGTCTGGGCTTGGTGGGAGCTGTTGGCTATTCTACATAAAACACCCAAATTCTTAGCCAGTAGTTGTTTGAAAACCTCCGCAGTCACGACGAGCGGACGAAAGGACAGGCAAGCACGCAGTGCGCAGGCACTACAATGGTTCGGCTTGTGAAGCCCCTAGCCGCCGTTTCTACGAAAGGAAATGATATAGTATAGTATTAATGATACATTATGGTTTTAATGCACAAATTAGGGTAAACTGACTACGAGCTCCGACAGCCCATCATGGCCGTGGGGCTGGTTTAGGCACTTTCAGTGGTCAGGGGGGACATACCTATTTTTGATCTCCTCACTGCATAGAAAGCGCCCATCTGTGGTAGTACTGTCCGCTTGAAGCTTACCTGCATAGCTGGTATCATGTGCATATTGATGAGCATTCACTGCCACTCTAGATATTTCCTCATAGCTCCAGGCTTGCTGTTGTCCTGCAATACATATTGACCCACCCTGGCTTGTTGCATTTGTTGTTCACAGCTCGTACTCGGCTGCAACTGTCTAACTCTTCTGATCTAACTATATGGTGGACCTAAATCGTGAAGGACGGAATCCCGATTCTTACCCTTAAAATAGCCCTAATCAAGCTTAATCGACCAAAAGGAAGACCTCTCAGATTTATTGTACGGCATTGAAGTGCCAGCGGAACTGGCTGGACGCTCAGTGCAGCTCATCCAGCTCATCCCTATAGCACCCCGAAGCTTAGCGAGCACCCCGAAGCTTAGCGAGGAGATCCCCACATCTTAGACAGAATCAAGAGACAGGCATTACCAGCCCCTCAGCAAAACAACGGTGAAGCAGACTTTCGCAAGGCGCACGATCGGCGAACTGCTCGACGTGGATGGTTCACCAATATACGTATCATTGGACATCGCTGATGCGATCTTATAAATTCGAATAGATCCCCATGACAGGCAGAAATTTGTGTCGCACTTGAGCCCTCGCAAGTTCGAGTTCACGCGCATGCACTTTGAACTCGTGGCCGCAACTGCCGAACTGCAGCAACAACGCAATGACGATGGTCTAGACCAGATCAGTGGCGGATGGATAGGTTCATAAAAGCGCGTTTATGATCAGCCTCAATGCGCAGGAGCACCTATACCACCATGCAACGTGTTCTGCAACGTATATGCGAGATGCAGTGGTTCGTGAAAGCACAAAGGTGTCCCTGTTTTAAGTTAGTAATTAGCTTTGTAGGCTAGGGCTCCAGGTACAGGAAAGGGGGAATCGAACCAGATCAGGCGAAGATACGAGATTTCAGAGGCGGCAGCAGCACTTGTACACTTGCATGGACATTCACAACTTCATCGGCTACCCAACGTTCTACTACAGCTTCGTTTCCGGTTTCTCCCGTCGTCCCCGCCCCTCTAACGGACCTACGTGGAGAGAACAAACAACTCATTTGGACAGAGCGTAGGGATGCAGACGCAGTGATGCTCCTCAAGCACCTCAAGCCGTTCTCAGTACATCCTAACAACCAACGCCAGTACCACAGTAGTTGGGATGGTGCTCTCTCAGCAAGCCAACAGTCCTCAAACAGCAGCACCAAATCATCGCCTGCTACTCACGTCGTTTGAAGCGGACAGAGAAGAATTACCCAATACGTGAGAAAGAGCTCTACGAGCTCGGGAGTGGAGTAACATCATGAAGTATCATCATTTCCTGAAACACCTTACGAGAAGTTTCAGTACTATGCAGGTGAAAGAGTTGTTCGGTGGCTCTGCCGGAATATGCGATACGACTTCACAGGGAAGTGTTTCGAGGCCAACACCGAGGTGGTCGGCGGCGCACACTCGAGGCGGCCTACCAATCAGGCACTATGGCCAGTAACTGCGCTTTTGTGCTTGATCATTCACGTTACCTTTCAAACATTCGGTCACCCTCACCATACTTGGACATTTACGCTCATGCAGCTACAGCTAGGCTTAACAGTGGGAGACAGGACATCTCAAGAATTTCGGCCCCATTGCAGGAAGACGCAAAATCTGGGTTACACAAGTTGTGTCCCGGTTGCTGAATCATATGAATACATAAATTCTTGTTTCACCATTGGACGTGCGTTCAAGTGCTGAACGTTCTCGCCATAACGCTCAGGCGACACCTTCCTTTCCTAAAGCTTCTTCAACTCTGCAACAGTCTGCTCCCGCGTCGACCCAGGCATCATACAGCACCGCCAACCAAAACTCCTCCAAATCCCATCAGGGATGCGGGATGCAGCAGTGGCGTTGGATTCAACTCGACGCTGTTACCGACCGTGGGTTGCCTCCCCACCACAGGGCAAATTCTGGTCAATCTGTATTTTGCAAGAGAAGTTCATACCCATGTCCAACAAACATGAACTTCCTTTGGAATTTTGGTTTCTTATTAGGAATCTCTTTTGTAGTCCAAAATGTTACAGGTTTATTACTAGCTTCTAGATATACTAGTGATATGTCAAATGCCTTCTATATGTAAGTAGAAAATATGTAATACTACAAATATAAGTGCTACAAAAGGTAATATAAAATGTAGTACAAAGAATCTTCTTGACGTAGGATTATCCACATAGAATCCTCCTAATAACCATGATACAAGATATGGTATAGGTGATAATAGATTACAAATTACAGTAGCGCCCCCGTACCGTTGCATTTGAGAATCAAAACTTCTACAACTTAGCATTTACACTGCATGGTGCAATTATGATTTTCTTTGTAGTTATGCCGGGTCACTGGCATTTGACGAAGTTCTAAGGAGAGATCGAATGGAAAACTCTTTTGGACATTTATATTCCACGTACCTCCTGTTATAGTCTCGGCTCTGCAGCTGGCCGCCCGACTGTGGGGATGAGGTTCGATGCTCGGCCCTGTACCTCGTGAACCATACGGCCCTACCAGGTGTAGCGGTAACCTTGGACCCTATCTGCGGAATATTGTGAGTTGTATGGAAGCCAAATACTCAGCCAAATACTAAATTGTCAAAAGTTCAAAACGGTCGAACATACCAGCACAAACAAGACCTCGTTGCTGTATCTACAAGCACTGTGGATAGTTGTTTACAGCTTTTACTTTGCGTGCCGCTTGTCTAGTAGAGCTGAGTGAGGGTTTATGGGCCCACTTCAAGCATACTTGCGATTAGCGCACAAACTGTGCCATACAGGCATTGCTGCACCGTGCAAGACTGGAACTCTGGAATTCCAGATTCAAACGGAATCCCATACTCAAGCATCTTCCAGCACCCTGGCCATGGATTTCATAAAAAGTTTGTCAACTGATATAAACCTTTGTTGGGATTCCCCATATTTGTTGCGGCAATCGCCCCACCCACGAGCACTTCCATCCTAGGAACTTCACCATCGACAATCCCTGCCAGACACCAGAAACCTATGTGCCCGGTTTGATTCACAGCATATATTAGTGCGTTTATTAATTTGAATTTCAAAAGCTTGTGTTTACTGCGTTAATTAATTCCTGTTAATGAGAACTTGGTGACGCTACTTGTAGTGAACAGCTGGCCTACACTGATACTACGTGAGGTCCCTAAGTTATACCCAATAGGTGCACACACTATAACCAGAAGCCAAAATCTATGATTCTCGCTGAAACCACTAATAGACACAATTAACAACCAAATATACGATCAAGTTCCTAATGTTGTTAGGAAAGAAAACCCAAAATAATAGAACTGATGCCCACCCCCCGCCGAGGGCCAGGGCCAGAGTCACAGCAACAGCCTCGCACCGAGCCCCAAACTGGTGCCGGATGGCGAGCACGCTGATCCACTAAGCTGCTTTCCTCTCTAAAAGTGTCATAATCCCCGAAATATTCTATAGTATTCATTCCTCTTCATGATATTAGGCCTCTAGAGGCCACGCCAAAGCTCCATTGTAGTGCCTGTGCACTACACTACTGCCACACAGGTCTGGGGGAGAGAGAGGCCACGGGTTGCATGCAGCCGCTGAGCTCGAAGGTATTTCATTTTGCCATTGTTTTTTCGTATTCATTGTTGCTCCTTGGGCTCATTTAAGTACTCTTCAGGGGCCCTTCAAAGCACGGCAGCTACAAAGGCAACGCCAACACTATATTGGGTTTCACTCTACGGTGAAAATGTCGGTTTATATGGACTACCAGAACAGAGTCGGGCATAAGCTCGGCTCTGGTGCGCCCGCCACCTGGCAGGTAAGGACTGTTAGAAAACAGTACAAAGAGCAGAAAGGAAACCGAAGTAGCCGCATGGATAGGCGCACTCGTGAACCGACGCACAGTAGCACCACCACTAGCATGAAAAGAAGTAGGAGCATTAAAAACAAGTGCAGCATAAGAAGCGGAGTGTTCCTTGTTGTCTGGCACCTGGGTGCCTGCTCATTCCAGTTGCTAAGTGCTTGGTCAACATATGGGGTAAGCTAGGTGTATACACAACACTGTTAATGTTCCCCTCTGCATTTCTGTAGGAGGTAAATCTCGAACGGAAGGAAAGGCTCCGTCGGTTGGCCTTGGAGACGATAGACCTTAACAAAGATCCGTACTTCATGCGCAACCACTTGGGTAAGCAACGACAGAAACAAGGGCAGTTGCCGCTACTGCTGCTGTTTGCGGTGGATAGTCTAACTAATGAATTGCTGCAGCAACGACTCTCACGAAAGTAGAAGCCTTGCTTGGGAGGCAACGGTAGCAGTAGCAGCGGCAATGCTGCCGCTGCTGCTTGCTTGTCTAGGGGTTGTTCCCTGCGAGCCTCTCTCCCTCCAGGCATATTATGTCCGGAGTCTCCAATATACACACATAGGCGCATTGTGCACGTGTATTTGTAGTGTGATGCTGCTACCTGTATGGGTGCTATGGTTGTTGATATGATTGGTGGTGCACTTGTTCTCACTGCCATTCTCGCTATTCTTGCTGCAGTCGTCCTTGTTGCCGGCCTCATTGCATTTACGGATGCTGGACGGGTGACCTTATATCTGCCGTTATTGTAGTTATTTGACACCCTGTTTTTTCTGCTTGTTGACTTGTGCTGTTTGTGAACACTGCTGCTCTCTTTGTGTTCTGAAGTGGTGCTGCTTCGGTCGAGGCAGCTGCCTTTCTTATTCGTGTTCTTGATGGCACTCTTTTGTTGTGCAGGCCAGTTCGAATGCCGTCTGTGTTTGACTCTGCACACAAACGAGGGTTCTTATCTATCGCACACACAGGGCAAAAAACACCAGACAAACCTCTCCAGAAGACTTGCCAAAGAAAAAGCAGATGCCGTCGTTGCCCCCATGCCCCTCAAGGTGTGCTGGTCTGGCGGAGCTGTCGCCGAAGTCGCGGCTTCCCGGACACCTGCTGTTATCGTTCCTTTTGGTGCTGGTATTCGGCGTTGTGTGTGTTTTGTTGTGGTTGCTCTTAGCGTTGCTACTGCTTCAGCTAATGAGTTTGTTGCAGTTGCTATTCCCGCCTCCGTTACTGCTGCACTTTCTACTATTGGTGATGTTCGTTATCCTACTCAAAGGCTGCTGCTGCTGAAGTGCTGCTGGTGGTGCTGCAGACATCCAGTGGCCCTGGGCGTTCATCAGACAGAGTGCGCATTGGACGTCCGGGATACCGCGTGACAAAGCTGAGGGACGAGCGAACGCGGCAGTTCGCGCTTCTGTGTGAAGTCGAGTACCCTGAAATCGTGAGGGGCACCAAACCTTACCACAGGTAACGGCCAGCCGGGTGGCGCCCATCCGATGTAGAAGCTGCACCTGCAGGAGCAGGAGCAACACCAACTTCAGCTGAGCAGCAACCCTCCTGATTCTCGCAAGGATTCAAATTTACGGGGAGCCTGGGGGCGAATGTGTGCACACTGTAGACATGTATGCATATGCGTATGAGCATCTGTACGTACAGCATGTACCGTTGCATCTACGAGGGTTGAGCTAATCAGTGTATGCGGACGGTGCAGAATTTTCGTGCATAGGATGTCATCCGTGTGGCATGTTGCGCATGGAATTTCTGCGCGCTCTGTTCATGCATTTGTGCGTTTCCATTTCTGTAAAAGAGTTGCAACATCCTAGGCAGCGCTGTCCGTGTAAAAGGGGATTTTATCATGAAATCCCCAGCAGTTTTGGTGCCTCGTTAGGGTCCACTCTAGGGCATATATACACTTGCTTTCATATGTATAATGCAATGATTTACACGCTTGTGCTGCACCCAGTTGATAGGAGGAAGGCCCCTTTGCCGCTGACGATATGGGCGAATGCTGCAGGCTTTCCTCACCTGAAGTTCTCCACTTTTTGGGTTGATTTTGCGGCAGTTGAATGGCTTTAGCGTTTGGTTATGAGGTTGTTTGTGCGTCCGCGTACATCTGAACCATGCAACGCCAGTCCCTTTAGTACCTCCGGCTTTTGGTTGATCTCTGCTTTGTGCTGCGCAGGTTTATGTCTGCCTTTGAGCAGCGCGTTGAAACCCCCCCGGATGGAAACTATCAATTTTTGCTCTTCGCTGCGGAGCCATACGAGACCATCGGTGTGTCTCCTTGGGCTTGATAGATAGCATGTAGCAGCAGCACAAGCGGCAGTAGTAGTAGCATTAGTAGTAGTAGCTGCGGTCTTGCGCAGGCTTTTACGTCCAGAGATAAGGTGTGATTTAGGGTACAGGGTTTCGGCGGGCTTTGTTGAGTTTCTTCGTGTATGAGTACCACTCCACAGAAGAAGCTTTAGAAATGGCCGTCTGCTTAGTGTTAGGGAACGTAACTGTTTGAAAGCAGGGTTCTTTGCTAGAACTCACTTTGGAGTGAACCCCACCGGAAGGTTGTGATTGGGATGTGTGGCAGAGAGCACTGCTCGTGACCTCTGATGCTGTATGTACAAGTGGTCACGCACTTGTGTGCGCCGCATGGAAAATTGCAAGTATTGCTGTTGTGCCCGCTGTACAGTGTACGAACACTGCATTCTTAAGTTTGCATTGTACTTCTTTGTGTGCGCAGCCTTTAAAATCCCCAACATGGAAATCGACAGAGACGACCCTCGGCACCACGCAGCTTGGGACGCAGAGAAGAAGGTATACACGATGCAGATATTCTTCTCCGTAAGTTAGTACTAACCCACATGCTTCAACATCTAAGGTTTAAGTCCTGCATTTTAAACAGTATTTTAGCTTTAAACCATGAAGTGTCCAAGGAATCCATAGACGGTGCTATGCTCGTTACTCTGCACCGCACTATCATGGACAGCTGTTATCGGTACAATTCAGCCAGCATTTGTATTGCATGACACTTAAGATGCATTGGCATTCCCATCCACAAGGGAAATGTAGAAGATGCAGCTCTTTTCTATGGTTGTCTATCGTTTTGCAGAAACGACAGCCTCGGCCATTGCCCGCGCTGCCGCAGCGGCCCACGACATTCTTGCCGGTCGGGGCTCGTTGGTGAAGGACCAGGGCAAAAAACGATAAGGCACAAAGCAAAAGAAGTGGATATTCAGAATCGAGTGAAATCAAGGAGTGCATGCTACCTGCGTCTGCAGCGCATGTGCATTGCAAGCCGATTGCTGTGGAAAACGGCAAGGGACGGCGGAATCGTGCACTAAGCAGCCCCATAGACAGAGTTTGAAGCGATCGCGTCTTTCCTGCTTTGTCGGGGGCTGTTCCTGTCGTATTTTTTGGAGTTAGAAATGCTTGCATGTGCCATTTAACTGACAACTGGGGCACAGTTACGTGGAAGGATGTGCGTGAATGGGGTGTACGAGCTCCCGAGCGACAGCGCTAGATATCTAATTGTAGATTCAATATAGGAGGACGCTAGGGACGTATGTTCGGCACTTCTTAGTGGACTGCAGACGAATGTATTGAACTCGTTTATCTGCACACAGAGAAAGAGGAGTAGACGCGCACGTTCAGCCGAAACGCATAAGGTGTAGGCGGACGAGTTTCGTACGTGGTCATCCGTCTGCCTCTGCAGGGAGGCCAACACAGCGGTGTTGCACTTGGTCGCTGCTTCGGTCGAGGTGCCTTTGCTTTGAGTGAAGCTGTCTGCACATTTGACAGGCTTGTCAGACTGGACAGGTGCTGGGCTTATGACTCAGTGAAGACAAAATCGCTACGAGGGATAGCATTTACAACACATTTGGGCTACAGCAACCGCGCAGCTGTGCCTACACCCGACGATCGGAAACAAAGTTAGCCAACAGCAAACCGCACTCACATACGCACATACGCGCCAACGGAGTGTTTGTCTTCTACTTTGTCTCCAAGGCATTAAGACGGGGCGATATCCATTAAGAAACAGGAGGAGGGCGGAATCCGTGCAGTAGACAGAGGCAAGGGACAGGAGTGGGGTTGAAGGTGCTTACATGCGGCATGGCAATAGGGCACCTATATTACTGGATAGAGACGAAACACAGTGAAATAGAGCGACATATGTACATAGCGGTTGTACGACAAAAACAAGCAACAAAGTCGCATGGGGAGTCTCCACCCTTGTGCGGTCTATGCGCCAGATAGACACTGCGAACTTAACCACGACAGCTCCTCCTTATCAGCCATTTGGATTAAATGTCAACAGTAGCGACTGCGTGGGGAACCCGTGCTTCTGCCGCTGCGATTGCCGTACAGCCCACACTACTTGGGGGGAGTTTTCCTGTGTAGCAGGCAATGGCTCAAGGCTCCGTTTCGGCTGTTCTCGCATGCATTGCGTCAGAAGTGCTGATGCTGCAGTTCCTACCATTACTGTGGCTCCTGATGCTGCTTGTGTTGCTGGATTTGCTGCAGTATTATCTCCTGGTGCTTTTGCCGCTGCAGCTCTTCGTGGGCATCGCGCTCGCGCAGCGGCAATGGAGGAGCCCCCGGTTTCTGCTGATGGTGTGGTGGACCGAGAAGCTTCTCCCCAAGCTTCAATGTCTCATTAACAAGGGGGTCATCTTCCGGTGCTTGCTGCTTCTGTTGCCGCCCCATCAGCATGTCAGCTGGCTCTGACTGTGGCGATGTGCTACTGCCAGTGCTCCTGTCCTCAAGTAGAAGCAGCAGCTTCTGCCTTTGGTTAGCTGCTGCTTCGTGGTTGCCAACATGAAGAAGTGCTTTCAGCTTTAGAGCTGCAACACGCACCCTTTGCTCCAGGGGTATATGCTGCTGTGACAGCGCGGCAGTGGCTCTTGCTGCAGCTGCTGCTGCCGCTGCCCCGTCAATCTGTGCAGGAGCGGCAGCAGCAGCGCTTCGCTCGGGCTCTTCACAGGTTCTCCTTGCGCTAGCTGCAGCAACAGCAGCCGTTGCTGCTGCTACTGCTGCGTTTTGCTGCTGGATTTTAGGAGACTCAAACTCCGCAGCAACCGAGAGCAGCAGCTGCCAGTCTCCTGCTGCTGCTGCAGCCGTCATTACCTCAGCATATGCACTTAAGGGGAATTCGGGGGGAATGGCTGCAGCTGCTGCTGCAAAAGAGTCCTGCTGTTGCTCCTGTAGCTCCTTCTGCAGCACAAAAAGCTGCTGCTGCTGCTGATAACGCTGCTGCAGTAGCCGCAGGAGGCCAAGCGATTCTCTCGGGGCTGCTGCTGCAGTGCAGCAGCGCAGAAGGGCAAGGTATGGTGAGACACTGCCAGATGGTGGAAAGGCTTGCAGCAGCAGCGGTTGCTGCGGTTGCTGCTGCCTGAGTAGATGCTGCATGCTGATCAGATGTTTTAGTTTTTGTATAGCCTGCTTTTGCTGCTGCAGCCAGTCAGCATGTGAATGCAGCAGTAGCTGCAGCGCTTCCCTCCACCTGCCCCCTGCAGCAAGCGCTTCAGCTGCTGCAGCATACACTGCAGCAGTATCGAGAGGCGGCAACTGTTGCTGTTGTCGCTCCTGTTGCTGTTCCTCAAAGTCGCGCAGCAGCACATCTACCGTGCTCCAGCTTTGCTGCGCAGCGGCAGCAGCAAGCAGGAGCAAGTACGTATGCGTGCTGGGTGCATGGGCTTCTGCTGCACTGCAGGTCCCGAATATCTCTTCTGAGAGCTGGTCCTGCCCGTGCTGTTGCTGCTGCACTTGCAGCTGCAGCAAATCACGCCTGTAGATAGTCATGGCCAGCTGCAGCCTCCCGGTTGCGGCTGCTGCAGTTATAGCTGCGTTCGTAACTGCTGCTGTTGGCAGGTATGAGTCACGATGCAGCAGCTGCTGCAGGTGCTGCAGCACTTCAGGCTCCAGTTCTTTCGACTCTTGGTTTTGCTGCTGTTGCTGCTGCTGTTGCTCCTGTCGTTGCCGCTGCTTCTGCTGAGTCATACGATGGTGCAGCACTTCCTGCTGCTGCCTTAGAGCAGCACACTCCGAGTACAGTTCAATAGCCTTGTCGTATCTACCGGTGCTAGCACAGCAGCAAATAAGAGCTGCGTATACGCTCGACGGCAGGGCCTGCTGTAGGGCCTCTGCTGCTGCTGCCACTGCATCTGCTTCTTGTTGTAGCCCAGCAGTAGCAACAGCCACTGCGGCTGCTGCTGAAGGGGCAGCAGCAGCTGCAGCAACACGGATTCGCCGCTGCAGTTGATGCGCTCGCTGTAGAGCAGCGTCGGCAACTCCAGCTTTGCTGAAACAGCTGATAGCAAGACCCAGAACCGCCAAGGAAGGTTCGTGACCTTCTCCTTCCATGTGCTCCAATAGCTGCGCAGACACCAAAGACCCTGAATCCTAAACCCTAGACGTCAAAACCCCAGAAGACTGTAGAGCACGAGCTGGAGGGCTGCTAGTACATACTGCATCATATGACCTTACCCTATAATCCTCAATCACAAAGTACAAACAACAAACCTTACCTTTAGCATCCCATGGTACTCCCCCGCTCTTTCCAACAGAGAAGCAACGCTGTGGAAGGTTGCCTCGTCTGGCGGGGCGCCGGTGGACCTCATCTGCCTGTATACCTCAAAGCCTCCAAGAGCGTCTCCTTGTCGCTCGCACGCATGCAGCATGCAGTTGAATATGACAGCCAGGCGCTTCTTCTCCCCCATGCCCCGCTGAGAAGGGTTATTATTGGGCGTCCCACTACCAGAGGGGCCCCATACAGCCGCTTCCGGCTCAGTATGGGGACCTCCTGAGCTAGCAGCCTCAAGCAACTGGAGCGCACGAGCCAAGTCGATCTGAGGTGTGCCATCGTCTTGTTGCTGTTTCTCCCGCTGTGGGAAGCCGTTGTGTGAGTTGCTGGCAGCCGCTGATGGCACTGGAATGAAACTACGTTTATTTTTACAGTGTCTGTACACTCCCGAGGAGCCACTGCTCCGGTCGCAGTCTTCTTTATTGCTTCTAGGGTTGCTGATGCTGGTGCGTGCAGGTTTGGCCCACCGAGCAAATGGATACAAAAATGCGGATGGAGTGCTCGTGCGGGCTGGGATTGTGCAGGTCCTAATATTGAAGGGGCAATTTGCTCCCGCAGCGGCTGTTGTCTGATGCAGAAGCAGCAGCAGCAGCACACATGAAGGAAGCAGGAAGAAAGTTGTCCTTACAGAGTTATTACGCGAGGCGGTGCAGGGCCCGCGTATGGCTGCAGTCGGGACCTTGATTAGTTGCCTGTTCTCGAAATGTTGGGTTAAATGCCTCTTCTTCCCAGATCTTGCTGGGCCCATTATGATGGCCTCCAAATCCATTAAGCCCAGTCTGTACAGAAATCGAGAGTGCCTAGAGGACTCTGCCTCGCGGCGTAGCACCAATCGCTCTTGCAATCTCCATTCACCTCACAACGGTACAATGGTGGTGTTTCTCTACAGTTTGTGAAAAAAGAGTTAATAGGTGTGTTGTTTCCCATAAAACGATCAGACGACCCTGGCCCTCAGCCTCTGTCCGGGGGCCCCCCAGTCCCTTCGGGTCCCCTGGCCTCCACGGTGGGGACCAGAATGAATGTAAGCCTCCGGAGGCAAGCTAACCTTATTGTGAGGTTGAAATGAAGGATACAAAGTGTTTAACACTCGCCTCGAACCCCACATGCTCCACTCACACCACACACTCACACTCAGGACCACAGGGTTCCAGGTAGGGCTTAAGGTTTCAGCGAATTTCCGCACTGCAGACGGCGCCCAGGCAATCAAGACGGCCTCAACTCAGAAGCGATCCAGTGAAATACTTAGAGCCCAGCCCTGGTCTCAGGCCCTGATTCCCAAACCTTCCTCCCTAACACGCGTTGCGTCGTTGGGGAACTGCACTCCGAAAGGACAGTCTTAAGCCTATGATCTGGAGCCTTTGGGTCTAGCTTTTACGGTTTCGACGCCTTCTGGGCGAAGCAGAGGATGTACGGCTCTTCCGCCGACTTCCCCACCGCTGGGCCTCTCTTTGGGAAGGAAACCTGTCGAGGATTGGCGGACAAGAGCTTCGAGAAACGCAAAACGGCAGCTCAGGCGCTGCAACAACTCATTAAGCAGCAGGTCCAGGATGCCGCCAATGCCGCAGCAAGTGGCGGAACAACGGAAGCAGCGGCAGACAAGCCGACCACAGGGCAGCTGCAACATCATCAAGAGCAGCTGCAACAGCACGAGCAGCAGCACCAGCAGCAGGCCACTCAGGAAACGGTGCAGAAGGCAGTGTCTGCGCTTACGGCCGACTTTTTGTCGAGCCCAATCGCCAACATACGCAAGGGGGGCCTCTTAGGGGTTGCTGCTGTGGGCTTGGCCTTTGAGGTGAGAAGCTACAGTCTGGAAATTTAATAGTCTGAAATTAAATTAAGAGCTGGTTGTGGCAATAGGGATATGTTAAGATGTCAGTTCAACTGCTCTCACAAACCGCCGGCTTTGGATAGGTGCATTCCAACTTTAACATCTGCGGTGTACGTACGTTGCCAGCAAGACGTGCAGTTGCTTCTGGTTGTTCCTCTACTGTTCTCGTTTTTATTATGCTTTGGACTGAGGTTCCACTATAAGGTTAAACAGTGTCTCCAGCGTGCTGTCCGGCCACGTCGTCTACGTCTTCGTTCATGCTGGATGGTGTAATGCTTAAGGCTTACAACCCACGGTTTTAGGGTGCAGACATCCACCTCCTGCAAAGCTTGCCTAGGTGTGTCGTGGATTCTGAGAGTGGTGTGACTTGTGCTTCTACGGGGCTTTACTTGCAGTCCGGCGGCTTGGAGAGTTGCTTGCTGTTGCTTCTACGGCCTCTGCTGAAATCCTTCGGCGATCCTGACCCTCGTGTGCGGTACTACGCCTGCGAGGTAAGAGGAAGCCCCTGCGGCCGCAGCAAAAGCAGCATCTCCTACTGTGCCGCCCAGTGCTATTTCGTGCATTGTACTTCCTATGTTCCACCGTCGACAGTCTTTAATTTGCCGTCCTGCCCTTTCATTTGGGCTGCGGAGTCCTGTTCTTGCAGCTTCCTATTTGTTTTCCTTGTAATATTTGTCTACGTGGTTTTGTCCCTTTGCGGGCCTGTGCGTCTGTGTATTTTGGTACACCTTTTCCGCGTGTGGCTGTATGCGTATTCCCTCTCACCATCCAGTCAATCTCTTGCATGTTTTTATTCTACTTTGGAAACTCCTTCCCTCGCTCAGCAGCCGCAGCAGCAGCAGAGGCGGCAGGTGCTGCACCCTCTTGTCTTGACCCACGTTGTAGGTGTGTGGGTCTGTGTGGGTGTGTGGGTGAGTGGGACTGCGGCTGTGAGTGTGAGTTAGTGTTAGTGTGAGTGGGTGAGTGGGTGGGTGTTGGGCCGCCTGCACACAACGAATTTGCTTTTGTTGTTGTTGACAGAGTCTTTTCAACGTACTTAAGGCCGCAAGAGGCCTCTGCCTGCAGTTTTTGCCAGAGTTGTTCGATGGGCTATGCAAAGTAAGGACAAACATTCGTTGGCTTGGCAGCGTCTTCGTCTGCACCCCCTTGTCCCCTGCATCTTCTTTTTGGTCTTCTGTCGGTTTGGCAATCTCAGGACGTCCTTCTTCCTCTCCCTTTATGGTTGGAGTGTGGTGCTTCCCGCTGCCTCTTGCTGCATTGTCCTGCTTTTCTTGGTTGCTTGCTTGCATCTCCAGAGACATACTGCCTTTTTCTTGACCTGGAATGTCTGTACAGCTCTGCGGCGATGTTGACCGGGAGGTGCGCCAGGGCGTGAGCTTTGTAGACGGCCTGCTGAAGGAAGAGACAGCAGCAGCAGCAGCAGCAGTAGCAGAAGCAGCGGCTGCAGCAGCTGCTGCAGCAGCTGCTGCAGGGGTCCCAGTGGCACCAGCAAAGGCCGCAGCCGCAGCAAAAGGACCAATCACACCAGCCTTCATACATTTGCTAGTCGAGCGCCTCCTCGTCCGCAACCCTTATATTAAGCTCCTCGCGGTAACTCGGCTTCACGTTTGGGGTCTAGGGTTAGGTTGCAATGCTTGAGGATCGCAGCTTGTAGCGTTAAGAAGCGTGTAATGCTGCCTGCGCTCAAAACTCAACGGCCCAGTCTACAGGAACTTAGCGCCCTACCTCATTCGTGCGCACACTTAGGGCTTATGTTTTAACAGGAAGTTGTTCAGACTCGTGTTTGTGCGGCGTTCAGCTTTCATGGATTTCCCTGTTGGAGTCTAACACTGGTGAGTTTCTGCATTTGCTGGTGCACCTCTTCTTGAAGCTAGTGACTCAATTCGCTGCAGGGGTTGGCGCGGCAGTGCTGTAGGATTTGGTGTCAGTATGCAGCAAGAGTTTGGAGGGCCGCGTGCACCCCTGTCTGTATGAGAACGTCTTAGCAGCAGCGGAAGCAGCAGCAGCAATGGCAAGATGCATATCCATCGTCGGAAACTGCCATGGTTTGTTCAATGTAGTAGCGTCCCGGTTGTGTTGCTAGGGTTATCTTTGCCGTTGTAAGCGTTGTTGTTGCTCCTATTGCTGCAACTGTGGCTCTCTCAGGGGTTGATATGCTACAGTATCTGCCGCTGTTTTTGGGAGGGCTGCTGCAACTGCTTGGAGATTCCCACAGGTGAGCTCTACGCCACTCACTGCACCAGTAGCAATGCCGTCAGGGCGAGCGGTGGCCGCAGCTGCAGCAGCAGGAAAAGTTTCAGAACGATGGCTTTAATTTGTTGCAGGGACATTCGCCAAGCTGCGGACTTGTGCGTCACCAATTTTTTAGAGGATCTGCGGTCGGATCCTGTTGACAGTACGGACTGCGGGATCTGCTGTTGGTGATGTTGGCGTTGCTGTTGCTTCTGACCGTGCTTCTGATTCTGCTGCAGCTGTGAATTTGTTGGAATCTTGTCGGCGCTGTTGTGGCTGCCACGATGAGTCTGCGTAGCTGCTGCTCTGTCGATGCGGCCGGTGGCTTGTGCACGCTAGAGTAGCCGCTGCTCCTTTTGGGGCTCCTGCTACTGCAGACAACAGCAGGCCATGCGCGTGCCGTGTCCTGCTGTTGCCTTTTTGCTGCAGCGGATCCTGCCGTAGTGACGCAGACTGCAGAAGTGGTGTTACGGTGCAGCGACAGCAGCAATAGTTCCTTTACGCAATTAACAGCGTTGGTGTGGCTCCACGAGCTGCTTCTACTGCTATTGCCGGACGAGGGGCAGCTACACCAGCAAAGGCAGCGGAAGCAGCAGCAGCAAGACTTTCTTCTGCCTCAAACCCCGGTCGTGCGGTGGCACTTGGAGGTTCAGAAACATCTCAAGGTACAAAAAAAAGACTGATAAAGACCATAAGTATTACATAGTCAATGTTGCCACGGGTCTACCAACCCTTCATCCCATCTCGGCTCAGCAGGGACTTGATTTTAGGGCCTAATGTGGGTGCGTATTTCTGTGGGATGCGGTCATTCCTGCAGCCACTTGGGTGCAGAATGTTGCAGAGCATATTGCGCTGCGCTGCGGAGGCTGAAGAAGGTAGTCAAAACACCAATGCCCTTACTAAGCAGCAGACACAATAGGAACAGATGTACCAGAACCTGCAGCAGCAACAAAAACTACGACACCTGCTCTTAGTACCTCTAGCGAGGCAATTTTGGTGTGTTTATGCTATGCGGTGTTCAATTTGATGCAGAGATCGCGAGAATGGGTGCAGAAGTGCATGCGCACGTCATCGCCAGGGTGGGGCCGTCTCCCACTCCCAGTTCAGTCCCGTTGGAGTCTACGTTTTGCTGCTGCCGGACTGACCGCTGTGCCTCTTCGAAGACAGCCTCTGTGGCTGCTGCTTCTTCTCGAACCACTGTTGCTGCAAGAGCTGGAATTGCTGCTGGTGCGACAGGCTGATTTGGAGGGCTTGCGCGGCTGTGCTGCTTCACAGGTGTTAGTTTCTACTGCTGCGCTGGACCTCTCCGACTTCGTGAGTAGCGCCGCGGAGTACTTGTGTTCGTATACCCCGCCAGGACCCACAACAGCAGCTCCGGCAGGTGAAGAAAATGCTGGGGCCGCAGCTGCTGCTCCAACTGGTGACGTCCGCTCGCTGTGCCTCCAGTGGATGGAGTTGATGCTTGTAGAGAAGCCACATCTGCTGCTTGTGGGAAGCAAAGGTGATCAACAAAAGCAACAACAGCAGAAGCAGAGTCCGAAGCAGAACGGCGTGAAGTTGAGCAAGCGTTTTCTGAAGAGGCAGCAGCACCGAACCGATGTGAACGAAGAGGACATCCAACGTCTCTTGCTACAGAAGCAGAAGCCCCTTGTAGCTGCAGTGCTGTACACGGCTCTTACAGCTGAAGGATCGCCTGCAGCTGCTACTGCTGCTGCAGCGGCAGCAACAGAAAGACCATCAGCGGCAGCGCCTGCTCAGGAGGAGCAGAGCCGACAACAATCAACAGCGATGCCAACGGATCGGTCAGGGTCGGGCACAGCAGAAGCAGTAACAACAGGGTCAACGGCAACGGCAGCAACACCACCCAACCCCTTGCTGCGAATGTCGCTCTCGGTCCTCCGTCGTTTCATACAGCGCAGCGACGCAAATCTCCGCGTGGTGTCGGAGGAGCTGCTAGCCCTCTTCAGCTCGAACCGCCCTCTCCTTGTCAGTTCGCAGACTATACTTTTGGCTGTCTATGCATGAACCCTTAAGTGTTTAGGCCTTAAGGTCTTCGCCTTACACGCCTGCAGCTGCAGAGTCTTTGGGTCTCCCCAGTCATTGTTGAGTGGCTCACGGACACCCCTGATAGCGGTCATCCCCCGCGCCGCCTGGTTCTAGATATTCGTGTTTGCGTTTTGGGGTTAGGCTCATGGTTGGGTGTTGTAGGTGTGGTCGAAGGGCTCAAGCATCAGTGTTTGGCTTTGTGCAGTAGGGTGTGTGTTGCAGGACTGCCGGGGTCACTTTGTTCTGCGGCAGCTCTGCACAATGAGGAATCCTTGCGAGGTGTACATACACATGGCGGAGCAGATAGAGCGTCACTATGCAGCGGCAGCTGCTACTGCGCGACAGCCGGCTGCGGATGAAGCATCTACCGAAGTCTCACCAGTGGTGGTCGCATTATCCGCAGCATCAGGATCAGCGGCAACCAAAGCTATATCAGCCTCAACAGCAGCAGCGGTCCAGAAGAGCCCTAGATCTGGAGATGAGGATAGTCAAGCCAGGCAACCCATAACGCCTGACACTACCGCTGAACAGACTCTGCAATTTCTGCACCAAATCGTTCAGGCCCTCAGTATCGATCTCTTAAGTGCCAAGGTAAGCTCAATGCCACTCGAAAGGCGAGGTGGTCCTGCGTTCCCAAACACTCCGCCCTCTCCTTCCTTGAGTCGATGGTTGGTTGCCCCTTTCCTGCTGCACGAGAGAACGTAAACGTAACACGAGATATGTCCGTCCTAAGGGTCTAGAAGGTTCACATACGATCATTTGGCCTGCGTTTGACGCCGCTCAGGAAACTCAGGGTATTCGTCAGGAGCTACGCAAAGGTAGGAACAGCTGCGACAGGAGGAGCAGCAACTGCAACAAGGGCAGTGGCCCGAGCGACAGCAGCACGAATTGAAAGAGCATCAGCAGCAACTTAACTAATGGTCTCTGATTTTTTGGATGGTTGCAGCCGCTGAGTTGCACACTAGAGAGTAGTCGTGGAGGGTTGTGGTTTAAATGTTTGGGGTTCACCGTTGATTGCCGTGGCAGCCGTGCTGTTTATCTTTGCCTGTCGCACAGATGACAACAGAATATTCGAGGCCTTACTTCCCACTTGGTGAGACATGCCAAAGCAGCAACAGCATCGGTGGTGACATTGTCGGCAGCTTTAGGCGCAGAAGTAGTAGAAGCAGGAAGAGAAGAGACAGCAGCATCAGCAGCAACCTTCGCTTGTGTGAAGCTGCGTGTCTGCGGGGTGGGGGATTCCTGATTTTGATTGCGCTTCCATGTTGCCCATGAAAACCCAAATTCTAATTTTGTGTGCTTGTGGTTTAGTTGCTGCTGCTGTTGTTTGTGTATCACTGTACCAGGGCTCACAACTCAGTGTGGCTGATAGCGCTTTCTCTGTATGGGGGCAAATATGAAGTTGCCGCCGAGCTACTGAAGATGATGTAAGGCGCTGAGAGCGTGCTTGTGGTTGAACTTTGGGGACAGGCACGGGTGCTGTGTGTGAAGAGGGACAGGACTCCGTGTGGTTCGGTTGTTTCTGCTTTTGTTAGTGTCTACTAGCGATTTTCATGAGAGGTGGCACAGCTCCCTGTAGCAGTCAGTGTGCGGTTGCGCTTACGTTGAAACGTGTATAGATAGAGGCGCCTCGATGGCTCTGTGGAAAAGAACCGTTTGGGTGTGAGCATCCATTTACCGGGAGCTGTTAATCTGCCTTCGAATGTGGCACAACTTCGTTTAACACACGTCTATCTGCAGTTACCACATTGCTTCACTGGGGCCCTGCATCTCTATCCCCAAATGGCTGCTGAGTAGAGTAAGGATATGAGTTGCTTGCTGATTGCCTGTGTTTACTCCATCTCTACAGTCTTTATCTGCTTGTTTCTTACTGCAGCAGCAGCGAAGATTCCCTCTCCGACTTGGATATGCTGCAGTTGGAGCAGCTGGTGCTGCTCCTGGAGAGCAAACCCTTTGCTTTGGTTCGCATGGATCTGCTGCAGCAGCCGGTAGACCCGCATCTTGTTACTGCTATTCGAGGTAAGCGTACTTTGCTTTTGGTGCTACTGATCTCTTCTTCTGTCGTTGTGTGCTTCTGGTGCTGCTTGTACCCCTCCTGTTGCTGCACCAGGCACTGCTGGGATAGATGACATTTTCATCTGGACAGGGTCTACATAACGCGTATATGTTCCTAATCGTGGTGCTTTAACATGTGTGTGAATATTTATATTGTGCTTACCGCACTTACTCCTTCAAGCATACTACCAGCACCCCTTACTCTGCGCACGTACACTTACATAAAATATTTGACGCATTGACGCATTACAAATTCGCACAAAAATGCGCGGTGCGCGCAGATCCAGAACCACAGCGCTTCTGAGCATGCTCACTTGTTTCTCGCGGCACTTCAGTTTTAGTGTTGCTGCATTTTATTTTGAGTTCACTTTCGTGGTTGTGCACCTTCCAAGGGATTTTCGTCCATGAGGGGAAAGCATTAGGACGGAGGGAATAGATACGTAATTTACTGCACTTGCTCACCGCGCGTTTGCCTTGGCCCCACAGGTCTGGGCATGCTGCTGCCTCAAGGCCCTGCGTTCTCTCTGCTGTACCGCCGGCTGCAGCTCGCCTCGCCTTCTGCTGGCTGTTGTTGCATTTTGAAAGCCAGGTACATTTTTCTTGCAACAAATGCACCAGCAGCGACTACAGTTGTGGGCATTACTAGTTCGCCGGTTGTTTGTTCTGGTTATTGCTACTTCCGATTCCGTTTGGGTTGCTGCTTTTAGATCTATTAAGGATGGCCCAGTCGCACATACGGACTCCCTCGTGACGCGTGCTTTGTTGTTGGCGAGAACTGCGAGGAAGCAGTTTCATGGGGAGCTGTCAAGAACGGAGGTGCATAAGACAGGTGCGCGTTTTGCTCAGGATGTGTTTATAGATTTCTATGGAGGAACAAGCATGAACAAGTTCTACCGCACAGTCGCTGCCTGTTATGGTGCCCACAGATATTAGGTGGAAGAAGACGCACAGTTGGACATAATAGGGAACAGGAGGAAGTACTAAGAGAACGGTTCATGTTTATGTGTGTGCGTTGGATTCTGCAGCTTTTCATGCCGGCGCAGTAGACTGCAGCACGCGAAGTGTCGCAAAGCCTTCTGGAAGTTCTCCTGTAACGCCAGTTGCGTCTGCTGAGAAGCTCCAGAGGATAAGCTCACTTGAGTCCCTCGAGGCAGCCTTAGACGAGGCCCTCACTGAGCACGGTAGCATTCTAAAGGCCTTTCCTTCTAGGGACAGCGACACCTAATACAGGTAGTGCTGCATAAGAGCAAGCTTTGTCGCTGGCCCTCGTCAGCTGCCACTATGTTGAATTCAGAGGGGACGTGGAAGACGAATAATTGGGGTTATCGACATGCTTGCGATTCAGCTGCAGCGCGTACCGCAGCAACGGGTGCTAGTGCTAGTGTTGCCGCCGCAGTTGTTACAAAGATCGCACCAGGTCCCTACGTCGAGGGGCCAACATTTCCCCGCAACTCCGTTGCCCCTCAGCTTCCGACCTTCCCGACTGTATGTAAATCACTGCAGTAGAGTGCTTATATTAT